ACATTCATTCATTCATTCATTCACTAAATGACAAAATCAAGTCATTCTATTGAGCAAGCTATAATAGAAATGTATTTGATTGAAAGAGGAACATATAATCTGGAGGAAGTCAAGAAGTCACATAGATAGTTTGGTGACATGTACCTGACTCTTTTTCTCTACAATCATAGAGTTTCTCGATTTTTCTCATCAGAGTTCATGCAACCCAGGGAACTTGGTATTATTTAAAATGCAAGGCAATATGATAAATTCCTGCATCCTACCCAATTCAGAAAAATTGAATGCATGCAAAACAGTATGCCTATGCAGAAGAGAAGCCTACACTGCAGTTTGAAATGGCTTTGGAGGAAAAAAAAATGTGGATAATTGCAGTGCTTTTACGATGGAAAATACTGCAAGTGTGTGTGGGATGTAGACAACAAAGCTTTTGTTTTGTATTTTCATGCTAGGGTTGGAAAACTGCATGTAACAAAAAAGAGTGAGAGTGTATGTTATAATTAAAGGTACAATAGTAACTATATAAATTAAACATATATGACAGAAGTCATAAACTTTGTTTTTTAAACCAAATTTTTACAAGTACAGAAATAAACAGAGATTGTTGGCAAATATGCATATTTTTGTTTGCCACTTTTAGTGCAAAATCAAGATCCATATATAGCACGTTTTTGCACTAAAGCAGCGGTCACCAACCACTGGTGGTCTGCAAGAAAATTTTGGTGGTCCACAGAAAAATTATTTGCATTTTTTATATTGCACTAAATACTATTTATCTTTTTAAAAAATTCATATTAGTGGTCTGTGGGATTTAAAATTATGAATTTAGTGGTACCTGAAGTCTGAAAGGTTGGCGACCCCTGCACTACAGCATTGTTTTGCAGCAACTTTCAGAAAGTAGGGTATGTTGAAAATAAATTAAAAGTAACTTGGTTCTGGAATCCATCTTCTTCACACAATAGTCACAATTCCTGTAGTTGTTGTGGGGAGGAGTTAAATTTTATGATTCCTCTCTTGCCCTTGTCCTAATATCAGAATTGTGAAGAAATGTTGATTGATGGAGAAATCTGTTTAGTTTTCATTTAAAGCAGGGAAATACACAAATTCTAATAAAAATGTGGACAATTTTCTGTGATAATTTTAAATGCATATGTTGTAAATATAATTGATAAAGCTATATCTACACCCATGAGTGAAGATACAATGGCAATATTTATATTTACTGCACCATCGCTGTGCAGAATTGTTGCACACAGTTCTGGTAGCAGACCATAAGTTTCATGGAACAGGGATGTAGCTACTATCTTAATATTTAAACATAATTTATGTATTCAGAGTAGGGTACTATTGAAAACAGTTGATGAGGAGAGGAAGATGGACAAATAATCTTTGCAGAAGCAAGAAACCCGCAGCCTTCGCAGAAGCAAGAAACAGACTCTCTGCAAAGAAAAAAACTTCTTTATTTACACATTGGGAATTAACTGCATTCACCAACAGAAAGTCCAGGCAAGAGTCCTGCAAGAAGTTAAATGAAACAATATTCCTTATCAGCTCGTTATGATAAATGCAAGGCTGTGAGTTCCCAGCCAGGAGGCTGCCAATTAAGTCAGTTCAAACAGAGAAATAGACAAACCTCAGTTCTGGCAAGGCAGTCTTTGTCACACGAAACACACAAGGAGCAAACTTTCCAGAAATGCGAATGGTTGTCTGCAACAACCAAACATCTCCCTTTGCTTCCTATTTATTCCCCAGCCAGGGAGGGGCCAGTCATCATCCATGTTTGTTTTGGTTCCGGAGCCAGCTCATTGTCCTTCGTTGTTCACCTGTCCTATCTGCTCTGCACATATGCGCATCTGGAACAGGCCCCAACTGTTCTTCCTCATGTCTGACTCTGAAGGCAGCTGCTTCTCTGGCTGGGAAATGCCAGACGGCCCTGGCTCTATCTCTGTGTTCGATGCTGAGCATCCATCAGAGCCTTCCCCAGGCTCCAAAACTAGCCCAGGTTCTTCCCCAACCTCCTCATCTTCTGAGTCTGGTGTGCCACAACAATATCCCAGTATGTGGATTTTCTGAAAGTAACAGGCCAAATTTTCATGCTTTGTTATAAATTGGTAATTGACATGAAGCTTTACCAAAACTTTAGTTATTGCTTCTGGGATGATGATGATGATGATGATGATGATGATGATGATGATGTTGATGATTTTATTGTAATAGATCAATCTTCCCATAATAAGTATCTTCTAGATGTACTGAATGTTAAATTCCAAAATTCCAAGGAAGCATGTACATAGTCAAGAAGAATTCTGGGAGTTGCCTACATAGTACATCTAAAGAGTACCAGATTGGGAAAATCTGCAAGAACAAATAGTTTTAGCAACCCATACCACATGTTTAGGACATGCTCTTTTCCTACCAGAACCTATACGAAACAATGCACCCAGTGTTTATTACTGTGCTCTTCCTCTAATAAACTCAGCATAGCATCTCCTCCCTCTATCTCCTTTCTAATAACAACCTTCTGAGTTGGTTAAAATCAAGAAATAACACCTGGTCCAAGATAATCCAATAAGCTTCCAAAGCCATTGATCTATTTCTGGCCACTTCTTGTATTTATCCCCGCGCTGTGGGGGTTTTCAATTGTATTTTTAATGCAATTACAGTTTGTTTAAGACCATCAACACCCCTGAAATGTGAAACATATTTTGCTAGCAGATTTCGAGAATGAAAATTCTTTGTACACCAGATTTTCCTGTCCCCCCCCCCACATCCGCACCCTCCTCCTGTACATAAATGTGCCATGTTAAATCTACCAAAGGGATGTTTTCAGTCCTCTACATGCTGAAAACATGACACTGGATATCTGTCTTTTCCCCTTTCCTTAGAATAGCAAGATTGCATATCCAGACAATTGTCCTGCATTAAGGTGCTCCACCACCTTAGCAGAGAATATATAATTTGAGAGATCACTAGCTTGTGTCCAGGCTTGCTACTTTCCCTGAATATGGCCCCACTTTCATGCTTCCCCTTCATGCTCCAGCTGACAGAGAAGCTTGCAAATCCTTTTCTTCATGGTTGCATCTTGACCTTGACCTCAAAGCTTTAGAGGAGGTAGCCTCTGCATTCGAAGCAGGCATTGTCCACTGTCAACTCCTTTTTTTTTCTTTTGATATTAAGGAGAGCAAAAGGTCAGGCGAGATACTCGCCTTCTTAGATTTAGCATTTGGTCGAGGTTGGGGAGGGGGCTTCTCTTCTTTCCTTTGCACTGTATCGCTGCTTTTTTGTGTGTGTGTACTTTTCCTTCCTCCCTCTCCCCAAGCTGGTCAGGTATGCAGCATCATTTCATTTCTTTATCTAAAGCCTCCACTATTTTCTTCTCCAGTATATACGAAGAGGGAGAAACAAATTGGGAGGGAGAACGAAAGCTATATAAGCGAGAACCGAATCTATATATGTGTCAGACATTTGGAGGCAGAAAGACAAAAGCACTGAGTTAATTACCCATCATTTGCTGCTGCTGAGTAGCACAGATGGTAGCAAGTGATATGTGAATGGCATGGGGCAGTGAATTATTCGATCTTTTTTTAGATTAATCGCCAATGGCGAAGTAGGTTATTGCAAAGGTATAAAATATATGCATGTGTTCTTTTGAAAATGAAATATTTGGAGAATACTAAATATGGAGTATGATTTTCCCATGATAAAGAGATCACATTAGATCAAAGAGTAACATTTCACTCCAGGTAACCTGAGAGAGAGAAACAAAAAGGAGAAAAAAAACCAACCCTTATGAACTGGCTTACAAGCAGCAACAAATAAACCCTATATATTTAGAAGTGCTCTTTCATTCAGCAGAAGATTTCACTGTAAAAAAGGCACTGGGAAGAAAGCTGTTGTACGGAACAGTAAGTAGAGAATTGTGCTGTTTTTTTAAAAGCACTAATAAAGCACAGATTGAAAATAGAAATCAGAGATAAGAGTGACAATTTCACAGCAGCGTCCTGCTTGGCAGAGATAGTGATGAGAAGAAAAGAACGAAATATGTTGTGTGTGTGTATCTGAGCATGCACATGCATTATACAATACAACACGCACGCATGCACAGACACACACAAACACACCTTCCAAGGTCAGGATGATATACCAGTAATTCCCCTCCGATTGGCAAAAATGCTCAACCTTTCTTCTTCTTCCCTTATACTAAAAGAAGAAAAGTCTTCCTGCATTTTCAGTTGCATCAATAATTAATTGGTACACGGGAAAAGCAGATGCTGTCTTTTTTGCAGATCATAGAAACTGCTCCATCATCAAAATGTTGCCAGTCATCTCATTATTAAATCTATATGGTGCTAATATTATGAAGGATGAGAGCGAATGAGAGGAAGCCAGCAAGCCACAATAGTCTTCTTGGAATGCCTTCCCCTTGATGGCATTTTCTGACATTTCTAATTTAGCTAGAAAGTGGTTGTCTCTGCGCCATCAGCTGGGGTGGGGAAGTTTCAAAGAGACTCCTTCCCTGCCCTTCTCCTTGAGGATGTTTCTTAATCAAACCAAACAGAATCTGGCCCACATTACTGGTTGCGGTGACTTTGCATTGTATGGTGATGGGAGGGAGTTGCAAGAAGCTGGAAGAATAAGGCTGGGTTGTATTAGTCAGCAACACTGGGCAATGCATTTAAACTGCCACCCCTTTAATGTGAATCTAGGTTAAGAAGAAAATGCAGCACGAGCCAATCTGCTCCAGAGAAAAGAGAAGCATCAACCATTACAGAAGACTAAAATTTCCAACATGTGGTTTCATTAAAAGCTAGGCTTTCAATACAATATCATCTGTTAAAAGCTGGTGGATTTCCTTTCTTCCACCCCACCCCACCCCACCCCACCCCAACAATCTCTTTTTCACTTGATATGCCAATACAGGAAAAGATGCAAATAAGGCAACTGCACAGCTTCCAGTCCACATAATAGCACAAAGAACGATAGAGGCTGTGTGCGTAACTTACCTACCTTAACGGCACACTGACTTTGCAGAGGCAATGCTTGAATCACTGAAGCAGCAGGAGGGGGGAAGGTTGGCATACATTTCTCCTTGCTGTAGCTTTCCATAATAAATCTCTCATGGTTCCAGTTTAGGGTGTTGGGTTTTTTTGTTTTTTTTTTAAGTAAATTTAAAAGAATGCAGCATTTGAGCAAATGAGAGAGTAAATGCTGCAGGCGGGGACCGGTGATGAGTTAGCATCCCTAAAATGAGAACATTGTTTCCTCTTTCTGAAATTAGAAAGAAAGGGATGTTTATATCCAGCAAGGATAATTTAAACAAGATTGCAAGCAAAATATATCCAGTTGGGCTTTGAGGAGCGTATCTTCTAATCCTGCCTAGACGAGATAAGGAGTTGCTACTGAAGGGCCCTCTAATGTTTATTTGAACACAAAGGATGGATGATTTATTGTACAGGACATAACTGTACCTGTGGATGCATATTGATAGCAGTTCTTGAAATGTCACACAATCCCTCGCACATTTCAAAAAGCGGCGCTTTGGAAAAAATGCCGGGCCATAGAGCAGCGGGAGAGGAAGGGAAGGGTAGGGGAAGGAGCCATCTCTGGAAAAAGAAATGATGGAATCAGAATCTAGACATTAACTGCTCATCTAGTTATAGATGTTTTTAAAGTGTAGCCAGTTCACAAGTAGAAAAAAGCATTCATATAGCTTTTTACTCCTCCAGAAATATTTATTAAGAAAACTGTGGGTAGCTATTACTTATAGCCTTGTAGGTCTTTTCTTTTCTTTCCCTCCCTCCGTTCCTCTCTCTTCTTCTTCTTCTTCTTTTTTTTTTATGAAACAAAGATGAAATTGAAATTGATTTTTGGGGCAGACATTTATATTGAAAGGAAGATCGTTTTATATTTTTCCCAAGGTGAGGCCCTCATTCCCTCTGAAATACAAAAAGTGCAGGAAATGAAAGCCTTGCTGAACAACAACTGGCCAGGCATTTTGCATAGGAGGTTTTCCATTGCCAGTAGAATTTATTCTTTGTTCCCTGACATGGTGGCCTGGAAATACACACTTGATTTTCCTCATTCTATGCAAATACAGATATACATATTGTTTGTTGTGAACACAACAAACTTCATGCCTAAATCATGTCCATGTTATTCAGAAAATAATAATGGTCTGTTTACCAAATCTTTTTTTGTTTTTTGTTTTTGCGCTGCTTTGTGTTAGTTTTTCAGGAGCTCCAAAAATCCGTGCCATGCACAAGGAACATACCCGTGTAGGTCTCATTCTCATATGTACTGAAGCAGTTTAAATCCCAATGAAGTCAATGTAAAATTAACTGAATGAACATACAGCTATGGCTCATATTTAAGAAGGAAGGTCGGTAAAAATGAATGATACGTTTGCCTTTTTTTTTTTTAAGGAAGTTCTGAAAGCAATTCCAACATGATATTGTGCACATTATGTCTGCATCACAGTAGAATTCACAGCCCTTCTCCTGATTCACTTATATATTGTTACTCAGAGTGGTAGCGTTCACTCTTAAATGAAACTGTGTAAAAAATTACAATGCCGGAAAAAAATGATTCTAGGATGGTAAGAAAGAGCATAAACTAATACCAAGTTTTAAAAAATGGCAAAGTACAAAATAATTTACCATTATGGTAGTCAGTTTTATAGCATATCTTTTCTTCTCTGTATAACAATGTCTTTCTTATACTTTTTTTAAAAAAAACTTTTCTGTTTGCATTGACCTTCCTGGTTAGAAAAAAGAAATAGATTGTGCAGAGGTACACCAGATTATCTGATTCTGCTGCACATGCTTCATTCTGAAGAGTATATACATGCAGGCAGGTGCCTTTACAATTGTGTGGGGTGAAAAAAAATGCAACAATAAATCATTTATGTAAGATTTAATCCAGTATGCTCTTTGTTCTGTACCAAGCCACATAATGTGGGTAATCCTTGATAAGATGTCCACAGTTTTACGTGTGATGGGGTGATATTGGTTAGGCATGCAAATCAGCTGCCTCATCTGATTAATTTGCAAATTGGTACCCTACATAGGATTATTTTACCTCCTTATCCATTACCTTTTTTCAACATTTAGCTTCGTCTTAGAAGTTGTGTGCTTCCTGAGATAAAAGAAAAGTATTTCCACATGGAATCTTGTTTTTCATCAGTAAGCAAGCACACAGTGTTTTTAGCACCATGAATAGTATGGTCACTAGATTCATGCAGCAAATGGCTAATACCATCAAAGTCAGAAATTTAGCCTGTATTAAACTGCAAATATTTGATTAAGGACTGGGAGAATCAATGTTTAGGCAAGTAGTTCCATAATCCCGCCCCCCCAAAATCCATTTTTAAGAACAAGAGAGAAAGATATTTAGATTTGTTCTGCTGGTCTAAATTATTTCATTTCTTTTCTTTTTTACACATACATCACAGATTTCCCCTATGAAATTTTATACAAAAAAGAAATCAATAATTCCTTCTTCTCATTCCCATTCTATCCCACTTTCAATGTACCAAAAGACGCCTTTTCAGCCTGATGGCCTGCATATAAATTGAACTTCAACTTCCATAATTCCATCTAACATGGAATTTGGGAAAGACTGACATATCTGGAAGATTGTCACTGGAAAATGTTTGTGTGAAGCAATATTTTGAATATCTAGAATCTCATGGAAGTCAACTGTACATCTTTTTTAAATGCAGTAAATTTATTTATTCTAATTTTATTTGAAAACAGATATGTACTGCCTATTATGAGTAAAAGAAGTCTCACTGATTGTAGTGGATCTACAGTGCATATGACTAAATCTGGACTCTATCTCTGGTTTAATGGATATTTGTAATGGGCATTTTTCATTTGTTTATTTTGTGTATCTTCTTTCCTCAAGATGCTCAAGGTGGTTGATATATTATGTCCCCATTAATTTTGTAGTCAGTCTGAACTATGAAGCAGATGGGCTGAGAGAAAGTGATTCACCTAAAATCCCCCATTTGAGCTTTAGCTAAATGGAACCTTGAATCGTGGGCTTCCTTGTCCTTCTCCAGCAAACCAAAACATTACACAATCCTGCAGTAGCTATTCCCATCTTTTGTTTACATTAGGAGAACTGAACAGGTATGTGTAAAGTGGTAGCAAAATTTCCACATTGGGAAATAAATTACCATGAATATGGGATGGGGGAAGGGATATATTTCTCTGTCTTTACTATTAATTAATACCTTTAGTATTTCATTACTTTGCCTGGGCCATCCTTCTCCACTTTGATGGCTACTAGATGGCTTGGGCTTATTTGTTACAATTTCCATAATTTTGCTCCAATTTATGTAAGAGATAGCCACACACCTCTAAAAATGGGTTGCTGTTGCTAATGTATTTTAAGTTAAAATAATTATTTTATTTTAACTTTGTTCACTGTCCAGAATCACTTGTTGAGATATACAGCCATATAAATTAGATTTTAAAAAATAAATAAAATTGTATATTTGGAAGCCATTACTAGCTCAGATTTAATTGCTGAGCTACCCCTCCTTTAGGTTAACCTAATAGGAAACATAATCTTAAAACTATTACTTTACATAACACATTCCATGGAATCCAGTGCAATGAAATTTAGAGATTTACTTTTACAATTAAATCCCAAATAATACAACAGCTTCACTTGGTGCTTAAATCAAAGCATTGGAGCCCTCTTTTGGTTGAAACTGAAACTGTCATTGCCAGCTGCTAAGTTGATCAAGGGTGTCCCTAAAATTAGTTCCAGTGACATCAGTCACACTTCTCATTTCAGTGGCACTGGCAAAAAGGGCTTTTTATAGCCCCAGTCCTCATTTATATATATATATAAATGAAACTCCCATCCTTACTTTCTACTATTACATACAGTAATCTTCTTTCCAGAAACTTCAATTTATGCCAAAGCATTTCCCGAACAAATGGTATTGGCAGAGAGCCTACCATGACTTCAGTGTATGTCATAAAATCCTAGGTATACCAAGATTTTATATCAGTGGAAAAAGAGAGTCTGGAATGCTCAGTTGCTTTTCCAGGCTAAGGTGTGCATGTGGCTTTAAAGCAGGCCCCCAACCTTCATGTTATACACACACATGTTCATGTATTTGTGTGTGTGTGTAGATAGATAGATAGATGAGGGAGGGAGGGAGGGAGGGAGGGAGGGAGAGAGAGAGAGAGAGAGAGAGAGAGAGAGAATTTCTTTATATTTATCTTTAATTAAAAAGAACTAATACCATATTTCAACATAATTTATTTAATACTTTTCCTTCTGTCACATTCAGCATCACTACTTAGTAGTAACTTTGGAGTTTTCTAGGGACCACATCCAAAGCTTTGTGGGGAGCGAGATATTCATGGCCCTGTGGTCTCAGCTTGTGCACATTATTTAGCTATCTTCAACCAGATACCGTCCTGATTCATGGAACTATGATAAGATTGTGAATCATGAGACTTGTAGTTTAGTATAACTGGATGAAACCCAGAAGGCTGGATCAATTTTACCATGAACAATTCTTGTAAAATTAAAAGACCTTCGAGTCCCAGGGCCATTGCGTAAGCTATTAATTTCTTACCATATATTGGAGCCACAATTGTCACATTTCTCATACTTCTCACTATTTCTAATTTCTAGCAAAGAAAACCTGGGACACATTGAAGAAGTTATTTTCAGGATCCTTTTATTCTAATTATACTCCACTCCTAATGGTCATCAAGATAATACATATAATTTTCTGCCCCTCTCTCTAGAGAGGTTGAGCCTCCAGTGACTGAGTCAGTGATAAATTCAACCTGGTTCTAATCCAGCACATTAACTGCTTCACTACAACACAATGTATTAGCATGTTGTTTGGCTGAAATGAGACATTGTTCATACTGCTTGGCTTTTTTCTACACTGTGGTCATTCAAATCACATGAAGAATGTGCATTCACATACATGCACACATACATTTTATCTATGATCTTCAGCTGCTTAAACGGGGTTTAAGATTCTATGTGGAGTCCCAGATGGCATCTTCCTTGTGGACTTGAAATGTAGTGCTACGTCTAAACATCCTATAGTATCTTTAAAATATTCTTTCTTTTGAAGAAAAACTAAAAATGGCTGCAACAATTTCTTTTTAAGCCAAGTCCCTTGAGTTAGTCACAGAATTTCTGCGTGGTTCATAAGATTATGGAATGTGTTGGCCACTGCGTTAAGCAATATATATTAAGAGAGAATTTCAAATTATTTCTAATTGGGAGCTGTGACTTTTAGGAAAATTACTGCTACTAGTAACCTTTGGTAAGCTTCTAAACCATCCTGCTTTCCCCATAAGATGATTTGAAACATAACGAGATACCCTTCTAGACTGTAAGAGAAACCTAGCATGTAATTATATTCACTATATGACATATATATATATATGATCTATTGATATTATTATATCTATCTGTGCTTGATAATTAGAATGCTAGAAAGTAGCCAAAATCAAGTATGCAAATATATTGTGAAATTTTGCTTAGCAAAACTTTAAAATATGTCAGACTTTGAATTTTAATGGCAGTTCCTCAAAACTCTTAATTCTTGGGGATAATGCTAAATGTTTGGTAAGACACACACAGAGACACACAGACACACAGCAAAAGGAAGCAAGTAAGAAAGCAATGGCATTGCAACTATATGTATGTGTGAGAGAGTGTGTGTGTATTGTTGTAATGCCATTGCTTTCTTACTTACTTGCTTCCTTTCTCCCTTTGATTTATATATTTATTTTATTTTTACTCTGCCTTTCTTCCTTGAGTAGCATTCAAGAGAATTAATAAATTTAAGATCAAAATCTGAATCAGTAATGGGTTGCTCCTGGTTTGGACCGGTTTGCAAGAACTGGTAGTAAAAGCGGAGGGAGGCTTCGCCCACTGACCCGGACATCATCATAGGTGATCTATGCATGCACAGAAGAGCGTGCGGGCACGATGCGAACCGGTAGTAAAGATAAGTAGTACCCACCCCTGACCTGAATGTTTAAAAAATGTAAAACATACTTTAAAACTGGCATTATATTGGATACTAAAAAGCCTTTTAAGAAAGAAGCGAAGGGCTGGACCAATCACTGGTCTCTGGATGCATTATGAAGATCTACTGTTTCACCCCAACTAAATTAAATATGTATTTCTGCCTGACTGAATTAGAGGGACTCAGCACAAGCACATGGATAGCTGTGAATAAACTGGGATAGAATACATAGTACATCAGGCCATAAGCAAATATGCAAGGGAGCTAAGGTTACTGCAATTGTTTGATTTACTGGTTAGCTGCTTGGATGTCTATGAAAATATTTCATAGAAAGCACCAAAGCTTGCAGAAGCCAAGGACATGCAGCCTTCACTGCTGAACTACAGTAAGGTAAAAAAAAGAAGAAGAAGAAGTAAAAGTAGTTAGCAAGATGCATCCCAATTTGCCAGCCAGGTTTTGTCATTGCTTTTCCCAATTAAACAACATTTTCATACAGCTATAGAGGAGGCAGAATAAGTAAGAAGATGAAAGAGGATTGGCTGATATGCTTCACTGCACATTTTCTCCTTTTCTGTTGTGAATATGTCTCCCTTGCCTCCTCTTTTACA